CTGTTCAGTGTCTTCTGTGTTAGAAGGACCATAGTTTTGGCGGTGCAAAGTAAAAATAAAAGGAAACACGTGTGTGGTCTGAAATGAACTTGAACCTTCAAGCTGCTTAAATGGTACTGGAGCTGGGGGTGGAGGGGTGAGGGCCCCATGCTGTCCTCTGTCCACTGTGATGCCCTCGGGCCTACCCACACTCACCAGCCCTGAGAGAAAACCCCGGCTGGGAATCTCCGTTGTTCACTAGTGAGCCTGTCTTCTGACAGAGGTGTCCTGGCCTGGGCCTGCCTCCATCCTCATCAGACGCGGGCTGGCCGTGCTGCTCCTGCACCGAGCACTGTGCCGGACACTCCACTGGACATGCGGTCTTTGCCCCCGGGCCTTCCCGCGTAGCCAGGGAGGCAGAGGTTCACACGACCGTGACACAAATGTGAAACTGCGCAGGGACCGTGACAGCTGTGTGGCGGGAGGGTCCCGTGTGGTGGGAGGGTCCCAGTGTGTCCCTGCTTGACCTCTGGCTCTGAGAGGTCAGAGGGAGCCTCACCCTACATGGCTGGCATGGGGGCTGTCGCCCCCAGAATGACGTGCGTGAGGGCCCCGCTGCGGCAGGAACAAAATAGGGAGAAGTGTCTGATTAGAAACTGCACGTGTTGCTGTTGAATTGATAATTTGTATCTCTGAGATTCTTCACAAACACAATAACCAATTTCGCATGGTCTTCCACATTCTTCTTGATTACAAAGTGAAGGCAGGCAGGCCGTGTGGACAGTGACAAAGCAGGGGCTGATCCCACGCATCTGTCAGGAGCAGTCCCCGCCACGCTTCCGCCGCTCCGGCAGACACCGGCGCTGATAAAGGAACGGGGCCCGGAAAATCAATGCACCTGGGGCTGGCGAGGCTGCTAAACACACAGAAGACATCTCCCTCCAAGAGGCCGGCACTGCGGAAATTCCCAAGCCTGGCCCTGGGACAGCAAGGAAAATTTAATCTCTCCAAATCCTCACCAGGGCACTCCATCCTGCAGCCCTGACAGCCACACTTATAATTAATTATACAATTTCGATGGGAATATCGACTAAACAAAGCTATAAATCATAGGAAAAGTCAATAGGCATGGACACATTCAATCATGTCCCGGCCAATGATTACTACTCTTAAAATACAATAATTATTTTCAGGAGCCAGCTCGAATTAAATTTCTGTCAGGCGGGTACAAGACCGGCGTTTGATGAAGGGTGCGACGGACCAGGGCTGCGGCGGCGCGGGCACATCCATCCTGCGGACGCGTCTGCTCTCACTGTCGCGGTGCCGTGCGTGCAACCGGACTGTGGAGACGGGACTCTCTCCCGGGCTCACCGGGCTGACCACCCTGACCCTCAGTCAATGGGGACAACTCCCAGCTCCCGGGCACGACAGAGTCGGCGTGCCGGCACCTCAGGCAGGTGCGAGGGCACCCAGGCCAGCAGGAACCTGCGGGACGTTCTCAAAGGCGCCGTCGTCCCAGGCGCCAAGCAGAGAGGGTCCGAGCAGCAGGACAGCAGCGCCGAGCCATCGGGCTCCACTCACGCCAGTTCTTTGGAGAGACCACGAGAAACGGCCTGGGAAGGCGCCCCCGAGCTCTGGCCACCTGTCCGTGTGGGACTCCTGACGTGATCAACAAACACGGAGTGTGGGGCCTCCCACAGTCACAGGGGAATGTGCTTCCACTCCACTGCGGGTTTTCATTCAGAATCAAATCCAAAAGTTCTCCCAAATACAGTACTCAGGTTCGTTTTCTTCTAAAGGCAGGTGGTTGCCGATGCAGGGCCCTGCTCTGTGTCGAGACGCAGAGAGAGACGACGACTTTGGACCCACACGAAAGACAATCACTCCCAGATGCTCTAGACACACCCCCTCCACACTGCACCCCCTCCACGCCGAAACCCCCTCCATGCTGTAACCCCCTCCACGCTGCATACCCCTTCACACCACCCCAACTAGGATCTGCCCCCCACATTCCACCTGTGGCCGTAGGAGCCTCCCTCTTGCCTGCCTCCTTGCTCCTTCCAGAACGTTCCATCCCCCTTGGCTGCCCTGGCTTCCTCCTCCAAGGGACCCTCCACTTTCTTCATGCCCTGTGCAAGGTCCCTGGAGACCTCGCTGCCCCTGCACTGAGAAGGCAGCTCTGTTAGGGGACCCGAAAGTACCTCCACCAAGCTCCAACAGCCATGCAGCTGTGAGGACGGCAGCCCTGTTTCCCTCCTGGGCACCCAACTCCCCAGACTCCTCCTGGGCACCCGCCTCCACCCAGACACCTCCCGGGCACCCGCCTCCCCAGACTCCTCCTGGGCACCCGCCTCCACCCAGACTCCTCCTGGGCACCCGCCTCCACCCAGACTCCTCCTGGGCACCCGCCTCCACCCAGACTCCTCCTGGGCACCCGCCTCCACCCAGACACCTCCTGGGCACCCGCCTCCACCCAGACACCTCCTGGGCACCCGCCTCCACCCAGACTCCTCCTGGGCACCTGCCTCCACCCAGACTACTCCTGGACACCTGCCTCCACCCAGACACCTGCCTTCACCTAGACACCTGTGCTCTGCAGGCTCTCCCCGCTGACGAGGCTGGGAGGTGCCACCTGGGAGCTGCCCGGCAGCGGGAAACACCCTGGAGCCCAGAGTCCCGCAGGAAGAGGCGTGCAGGAGCACTGAGAACCATAGGCGGACCGCCCCACCAGGCCCTGGAGGCTCGAGGAGGAGGCGTCTCCACCAGGTGCAGGTGGTGGAGCAGGGGAGAGTACCCGATGCCTCCCACGGACGGAGCAGGAGGAAACCAAGTCTGCCTGGATGGAGAGAAGAGGAGGAGACCTCAGGTTTCCCCAGGCCAAGAGGCCATGTGGGGACGGAACACCAAGACCTGATCTGACCGCAGTGGGGGAAGGGGCCGTGTCCTCCTGCAGCAGGCAAGAGGGACGGGGCACAGGAGGCCCAGGCACTACAGAGGCGTGGGTGTCATGGGAGCCTAGGGCTCTGGGTTGATGAGGGGCAGGAGGCAGAAGTGACTTCCCGAGAGGACAGGAGCATGGGTCTTGGGGATGCTGGGGAGGCAGCGAATCTGGTCCTGGAGTGGAGGTTCTGGGCCTGGGACTTGGGCGGGCTGGCAGTGTCCGCTGGGCTGAGTGTGCCCTTCTATTGGGCACTGAGAGGGCTCAGCTTTCTCCTAAGCAGTTTGCATGCACTGACCTATGAGCCCCTCACACCTCATGAGGAGAAACTGAGGCACAGGCACAGACCCCAGAGCTCCTGGCTGGCCCAGGACGCCGGGATGTGAACACGGCTGCACCCGGCCTGGGTCCACCTGCCTGTGCTCCCTCCCCTCCCCCATGGCCACCACCTGCCAGCTCCCCAGGGCAGAAGCCGCCTGCCCTGACGCAGTGCTGGAGGACCACAGCTGGCTCAGGACAGCCCTAGGAACGGATTCCGAGAGTTCCAGGTCTCAGACGCTGGCTCGCTGCGCAGAGCATCACACGTGGCTTGGGATGGCTACGGTGGCGCATTTACGGAAATCAGTCCAGGCCGCACATTGGGCCCCAGCCAGGAGCTGCATGGTTCCTGGTTCTTTGCATCGATAAACATTTATAAATACATTAAAAATGAGACCAAAGTAGACCACAGTCAAAAATGAAAATTAAAAAGAGAGTGTGTAGGCCGCCCCTCAGCGCTTGCCCACACTGATCCCTCAAAGGGAAGACTCGTGATTTCAAAGCCGACAGCAGGCTCTGCAGCGGGGGCTGCCTCCAGCACGGCCGGTTCTCAGTGGACTGGCATGAGCTGCACATTCCCGCTGACATGCACTTCGGTTTACACACGTGCTCGTGGCCACACAGCTGCACACTCACCCCCATACATGCAGACACGCATTTATGCACACATGCGTCCTAGCGCTCACACACATGCACACATACGTGCTGACACACAGACCCACACAGCAAGTCTAGCACGGGGGGGTGAGGAACCTGTGCCCTTCACTCTCCCGCTTCAGGGCGAAGCCCAAGCCCCGCCAGCCCACCCTGAGACAAGGGGACTTCCTCCCCATCCCAAAGCATCAGTGTCTGACCTCGCACACATGAGGGGCTCTGAAGCTGATGGGCTGCGTGGGCATCACACTGCCCGTGGACAGGGGAGTGACATGGGAGCCTCAGCCCAACCCGGCCCGGGGTGCCGGACGCACCCAACATGTGTCCCCAGCAGTCCGCCTTGCACTCGGCTCAAAACCGAGCCCTGGAGGTGGCAGGGACGAGGCAGGTGGTCCCAGGTAAGCAGAGGCGACGGGAGGGCCGGGGACATGGCTGTCCCAGGACAGGGCGGGGGGCCGCCACGTGGAGCCACGAACTTACCGCAGTGCCGTTGTTGTCCCGGAAGACCTCCTGGTTGACATAGTCAAACAGCTTCTTTTCTAACTGGAGCATAACCTGAGGTCAGAGAGGCCCATCAGCATCTGAGCTCCCCCAGCCTCGTCCCCTGGCCCCCACTGCCCCGGGAAGGCTGCAGAGTCCCGTGCAGGCCGGGCTGGGCCGGCCGTGGCCCCTGTGTCGCCCACCTAGTCACAGGCCCACTCACCTTCCGGTCATTGTCCGACTCACGAAATATGAGCTTCACAACTTCGTTGGTGTCGGCGGCCCGGACAGTCTGCATGGTGGCCTTTGTGCAAAGCGTCTGCGGAAAGACAGCAACAGAGGTCAGTCCCAGAGCGGTCCAGGCACCCACGGCAGCGTCCCCTGACACCTCCAGTCAGTGGGATGGGCTGGCCAGTTCCAGACAGCAGCCAGTGTCACACCAATTTCCACACTGGGGGCCAGGGGCCACTCCTGCGCAGCCAACCCTGGCATGTGCGAAGGGCCTGAGGCCAGCTGCGACCGCAGGGCCGCCCCAGAGCTGCTGCTGCACACAGAGCTGCTTCGGGGCAAAGGCCAGGGCAAGCCCAGCAGGCTCCCGAGGCCCCGGGGCGCTGAGAACAGCACAGATGGCGCCTGTGGGGCCCCTGGCTGGCCTCCCGCCCGCTCTCCTATCCCTGCACTCCCTCAAGAGCTGCTGGACTGCAACAGCGGGAGGCTTGCAGGAGGGCTGACTGGGAACAGTCTCCACCAGCTCATCCTCTGAAGCGGATGTGGAAGGGACGACTGAGGTCACCCTCCTCCTTCATGGTGTTAACCGGCTCAAACCAGTCCCTGGGAGAGAGGCTGGGGTGGGCAGAGGCCCGGAGGCAGGTAGACAGGACCCAAGAAGAGACTGGGGGTTCCACCAGGGTTCTGGGGACCATACCAACAAGGAGGACCAGGGAGAGGGCTGGGCAGGAGTCTGCAGGGCCAGGGTGTGCCCACGGATGCTCAGTGGCCTGGCCGGCTATGGGAAGGGGCAGCCGTCTGGGCAGCAGAGGAGACGGAGGCTGAGTGAGCACCAACCTCTCTGCCACACTGCTGCTCCAGGAGGCATGGTCCTGGCCGGCAGACCACCAGTGCAGATCTACGTGAAGGGTTATTTTCAGGACTGTTTTGAAAATTCCTCTTGCCAACCTCAATACAATGCAAGGTATGGTCACTGAGAGTCAGTCCCTAAAGGTAGGACAGCACTGCAGAGCCCTCCCTGGGCGGACTGGCCTCCAATAGGAGCCCCTGGCCCCAGCACAGAGGCCTTGCAGGCACTGAGCTCTCGAAGCCTGGCAGAAGTCATGAAGACACAAGAACACCCAGGACCACACCGGACAAGGGAGGAGCGAGACCCACACGCTGGGAGAGATCAAAGCTCGGCATGGAAGGCGAGGTGCCTGAGCTCACGGTGGGGGAGCAGGCAGAGGCACCGGGGCTGCAGCATCACTGGTGCAGGAGGAAGAGGGCGCAGCCGCTTCCTTACACGAAAGGCCACAGACTGCAGATTCCATTTACACAAAATTCCCAGAAAGGGCAAAGTCGGAGAGGCAGAGGCAGCAAGGCGGCGAGGCCGGGAGGGAACTGAGGTGGGGCTGAAGGGATGGTCTAGACTGGACTATAGTCTGTGTGTAAATTATACCTCAATAAAGCTGGCTTTTAATTCAACTTTTCTGTTTTGGAGACAGGGTCTTGGTCTCTCCTCCAGGCTGCAGCGCAGTGGTGGGATTAAGGCTTGTTTCAACCTCCACCTCCTGGGCTCAGGTGATCATCACACCTCAGCCGCTCAGGTAGCTGGGACTGTAGGTATGCACCTGCAGCTGTAATTTTGTAAGTTTTTGTAGAGACAGTGTCTCGCTATGTTGCCCAGGTTGACTGTGAACCCCTGGGCTCAAGTGATCATCCCATGTCAGCCTCCTAAAGTGCTAGGATTACAGATGTGAGCAGCTGAACCTGGCCCATAAAGCTGCTTTGTAAGAAAATAATGATCTTTATTTAAAAAAATGATGACTGCATGAAAAGTCAGAAATTTCTCCCTGAAGAGCCCTTGGGAGCTGGTACTGCTGAGGCACACCCCAACATCCCGGGCACTGGCCAGGGCTCAGGAGGGTATCCCTGGGCCAGTGCCCGGCCTTCCTTCGCAGGCTCCCGGCGTGCACTGAGCAGGAGCTGAGGGCATGAACCCTGGGGCCTCTCAGCAGCCTGGCATGCCTTGCCAGGATGCAGAGTCCTCCTCCGGGTGGCTGGATTGCGGCACCCCAGCCGGGGCCAGGAGGCGGCTGTCCGCCATCCGCAGAGCAGCCTGGGGGCGGGCCATTGGCATTTCCGAGCACAGATCGCCGCTCGGGTCAAGCCCCCAAAGTGGCTTTTGGACTATGTGTCACAAATCAGTCTGGAGCCTTCAAACAGCGTGAGGATTAGAACAAGCACCCAAACAGCCAGGACAGAGCGGGCCACCCTGCCCATCCCTGCATCCCAAGGAGGTCCAGTCCCATCCAGATGCTAATGGGCTTAAGTGGCTTAAGCCTCTTTCCCTGAATGGGAGAAGGCCTGGCAGGCAGACGGCCATTGTAGCCACCCCAGGACGCAGCTCAGGAAATTCATGGCTCTGTCTCCCAAAAGGCATCTGCTGGAAACTGTTTAAAAACTGCTTTATCTCAGCACTTCAGGCAGGCTCCCAAAGGACAAACATCTGATGGACCCCAGGGCCTCGGAAGGGGCCGTCCACCCACCTCCCCCACCTCCGCCCCAGAGCTACCTCATTCACAGGCTGTAAAGGAGTGATCAGGCCAGGCTGAACAGGCCAGAGCTGGCCAGCCCCCTTCGCCTTCCAATTCAGCAAAGTCGTGGCCGCTCATGCAGAAAGCGGCCAGGCTGGGCCTTTCCGGCTCGCCTACTTTTGGAAGGGATTCCTTTCTTTTGAAAGGGGAAACAAATACCCTGAATGCTATTTTTAAAAAGCCATCTAAGAGGTATTTCATTATTAGTAGCTACACGAAAAGGCCCTAGAAAGGGCGGCCTGGCATCCTGTCTCACCAGCTCTTGGGATTTCACGGGAACGCTGTGTGCCAGGGTCACCCACCTGCCCGTGGATAACGAAATTCCTGCATTTCTTATTGTTTGGATGACCGAGGAGGCATGCTGCCTGGGCAGGGTGTCCACAGGCCCAGGGCACGGGTGTCAGCCCAGGAGAAGGGCCGTTTTCTGTGTAAGGAAGTCACACGGTCACTCTGATTTGCACGGAGCTGCGCGGTGACGGTCGCCCGCTGTGCACCTGCGCAGCTGGTCTCATTTCAGGAGCTGAATCTGTCCCATCACCCCCTCAACTGTCATGGACACTCTGCCACAAAATCCAAAACTCCGCTAAAGGCAAACGCATCCTCTCAGACCCTGTCAGCCCAAGTGCTTAAATGCAACCTTCAGGAGCCGATTTATAAAAACAAAAAAATTGGGCCGGGCGCGGTGGCTCAAGCCTGTAATCCCAGCACTGTGGTAGGCCGAGGCGGGTGGATCACGAGGTCAAGAGATCGAGACCATCC